AGCGAGGCCGCGAGTAGAACGAGTATCGAATCATCGTAGCGCTCCTCGTAGCCAACATCCCGGAATCGTTAAATAAAATTAAGAACTGGTCCCGCGAAGCCGCTTCCCTGTTTCCCTTTCTCTCTCTCTCTCTCTCTCTCTCTCTCTCTCTCTGCCCGTCCACACAATAATATTCATATTGGGACGTAAGCGCATCGTTAAGCACGAGCAGCTACGCTACGCGACACGTTACGGGCGGTCGCAGTTCCCGTCTCTCTCGCGCATCGCCAAAAGCGGTCGTCCTAGCGTTCTTTTCCCAAATTTTTGACGGAGAGAGGAAGCCAGTGTCGGGAGATCAGCGCGACACATATGCACGGAGACTCAGGCGCATACGGCAAAAAGGATACAAAGTGTCGGGTCCGACGATATCGCTCGCGCGTACGATTGGTTCTCGCTACCCGTGGCCGTCCTCCGCTCCTCGAGCTCGTGGAGCGCGAAACGTGAAGTAGCGCTAATCCCCGACGGTCTTATTAGCGTGCGGGCGGGCGGACGGGCGTGCGTGCAAACGTGCGCGCGCGTGCTACGTCAGTGCCGCCGGTCGACAGCCAAGAGCCGAGCGGGCAGCGAACGAGGGAGGGACCGAGAGGCGGAGAGACGGAGAGAGCGCGCTTGAAAGAGGGAAAGGGAGATCGAGCAGGTAGCCAGGTCGGTTTAGGGTAGGAGGCCAGCACCACCATGGTCATCAAAGTATACATATCGGGGATCAGCGGTAACAAGGAAGTGAGTGACTTAGCCCGGAAGGATAAACCGAGGGGGATAAGCCGTGGGCTCGCGGGAGCGACGACGAAGCTTGAAATGTTGTTTGTGCATCCGATGCTGACTGGGATGAGGGAGCTGCTCGCCCTACGTTACGCCACGATTTCCCGCCGAAGGAATCGACGAGTCCGCGCCCGTATCGGATTACGGCTAATTGGCACTAATGGATGTGAGAGGGCCCTGGCCTCCAAGAGGAAATTTTATCGCGTCTGTCGAGCCAAAAATCTTTTTCGAGTCAAAAACCGTATTTCAATGCCCGTCTATCAATCTTCGTTTCATCTGGCATTTTGATGGAACAGCCACCGCCCGCTACTTGGCCCCATCTTACCATACAATAATACATTATGCTAATATTTGGTATTGATTATATTTTCTTTGTCTTTATGGTTTATTCGTGGACGGGAGCCCAGTGGGCGATAAATGTTTGCCATGCCATCCGTTCTAGTCGTCGCACTACTTCCCCATGATCGCGCGGCTCCCCTCGCGTGATCTACATTTATTGATTTGCCAGACATTATTGCTTACGTGTAGGGCCCATCTTGCAAGGAGCTACCAAGTAATGGCATTTGTAATTTTCAGGTGAAGAAACGTCAGCAGCGGGTGTTGATGATTTTGGAGAGCAAAAATGTTGAGTACGAAGTGATAGATATTACCGAGCCAGGCAAGGAGGCGGAGAAAGAGTTTATGCAGCTCAATGGCATGGCCAAGGAGAGTAAATACCCACTGCCTCCGCAAATATTCAACGACGAAGACTACTGCGGTGTAATTTTATTGTTTATCGAGCGTTTCTTGTTGTTCAAATGTTGTTTTCAAAAAGTTATTGACCTATCGTTATTGCATTATGATTTAGGACTACGAGGACTTTGACGAAGCCAACGAAATGGACGAGCTTGAAAAATTTCTAAAAGGCGCTGTAAATAGTAACGACGAGAATACGGAAAATAAATCACAATCCAGCGATATTCATCAGAATGGTAATTCTTCTAGTCGAGAGGTAAATGACAATATCCATCCCCCTGCTAGTTAGCGATGCCAAATAATTGTCGCAATGGATTGAATAAAGTTTTTCTTACAGCCCTCGGCTGATAAAGATCCCGCAGAGACGCTGGCCAAGGGGTAAGTGCATAAAATGATACGCATCCGCTAGTATTTGAAATTTTAATGTGAAATACAAATTTAAATAGAGCGGAGGAGAGAAGAGTGCCAGAGGGGGATAATGACAAGTCCTCGGACAATGTTAAACGTTCTGGCTCTGAAACCGAGATTAAAGACTTATCCGAAGATTTAGACCTTGAAAAGAACGACGACGCTAATGATGACGCTACTACCGAAAATCAAGAGAACGAAGAGTAGATATGTAAAATTTGCAGTAAGGGAATATTACGTTATATATCGAATTCATTGACACCAATTCTTCCTTTACGAATGATTTATTTAATTCTTACAACGCTATCTTATTCGAAGATGTTGAGGTAAAGCAGCCAGCAATACATCTCTAAAAATTTTAAATATCGATAAAGAAAAACTCATAAATTGCACTTTCTAAGGTGATATTGTACAAGTATTTTTTGTATGCAGTCAACTCTATGACAAGTCTAAACATATTCGCATAGTTTTTATATTCGTAATTTTGCATTTCGAATTTCATGAATCGACGAGGCATCGTATAACGGAGGAAATTTTATTTTTGTGCCTTAAATTGCGGTTGGAAAAATTGTACTTACAAAGTTAATTTTCTCTATTATTAAAAATTCATTGGAACAGATTTATTTGTAAAATTTAGTCGGATAGCTTGAAGCAAATTGTATTTGAATGAGGTTACAAGAGACTGCTAGCTCGTAGCAAGAATAAATGTTAAAATGTACATTCCTGCGGCTTAAAGTTGTCCTTGCCTAAAACGATTTATTTTAACTTATATTTTTTAAAGTATATATTTTAAAGTATGTCTTATACACGTTTCTGTATGTGAAAGTGAGACAACGAATTACGAGGAAGCTAGAAATTAACAACTCTCAATATTAATAAATGTGTATTTCATAGTTTTTCAGTAAAAATTTTTGTTTACGTGCATTTGTGAAAAATTCTAATAACGCTCTTTCC